CCCCATCAATCTGCACACAGTACTTCACAGTGATAAAGTGAAAACAGGTTTTTGGAGTCTTTTATTAATTTATTAAACATAAAAGACTGAAATATCCCATTTAATATAAATATTCAGACCCTTTGTTATGACACTTGCAACTGAACACCGGTGCATCCTGCTCCTATCAATAGTCCTTAAAACGCTTCTACATCTTGATTGGAGTCCACCTGTGCCTAATTTGATGTATTGGACATAATCAGGAAGGACCACACCTGACTATATGAGGTCTCACAGCTGATGGTGTATGTCAGAGTGAAAACAAAGCCATGTGGTTGGCAGAACTGTCCACAGACCTGTGAGACGGGATTGTGTTGAGACACAGATCTGGGGAAGGTTACAAGAAAGTGCCCAAGAGCACAATAGCCCCCATCATTCTGAAATGGAAGAGATATGGAACCACCGTCTTCATAGATCTGACCGTCCAGCCAAACTGAATAATCAGGGACAAAGGGCTTTGGTCAGACAGGTAACCAGAACCCAAGGGCCACTGTGAATGAGATTCAGAGCTCCTTTCTGGAGATGAGAGAATCTTACAGAAGGACAACCATCAGCGCAGCACTCTACCAGTTTGGCCTCTGTGGTGGAGTCGCCAGATGGAAGCCATTCCTCAGTAAAAGGCACATGACAGATGATTTTGCCAAAAGTCACCTGAACCACTCAGAAGCAAAATCCTCTGGTCTGATGAAACAAACACTGAACTATTTGGCCTCAATTCCCAACAGCATGTGTGGAGAAAACCAGGCACTGGGCATCACCTCATTAATACCATCCCTTCAGTCAAGCACGGTGGTGGCAGCGTCATGCTGGAGGGATGGTTTTCTGGAACTGGGAGACTAGTCAGCAATCAGCAATATTGTCATTACTGGGAAATTCTACATACATAGATCAAATTATATTAAAATAGTATGTTGTTTTTGTGTATTTTACAGTGAGTTTCTTGTTTTTGTAAAAGCCTTCAATCTTATGAAAACTAAAACAGCTATTAAACGTTTTTATATAAATGAAGAGTATAACTGAAAAGCAAAGCCCTAACGTTCGGCAACATGACTACTTATATTGTATGTATATTTTATTTTAAAAAATCCTTCTTCTCTCGTTCTGTTCTTTGTTTATGCACCTGTTCCCTGCTATGATATGGAATACTGTTATTGCCATGCCGGTTGTACATAAGTTTGTTCAATAAATAAACACACCCACATAAAGTCGCCCTTCTCTGTTTGGGCAACACCACAGTGTAGGCCGTTCGATAAGGTGTGGTTCTCCAGCCCAGCCGGTGGCGGTAATGCACCTTACGTTGGCTTGCAACCCACCAATAAATGTTATAAGAAGAAGAAGAACGTGTGGTTGCTGACCTGGCGGTAGTTAACCTCTGTCAGTACACTGTAAGTGTTTCTATAGATCAGATGTTAGTTGTCATCGTTGTGATTCAAAGCCAGACGGGACTACCAGTCCGCTTAGCGGTCAGAACTGTGTTATTATGTGTTGTATGTTTTAGCCTATATTTCCTCTGTTTACGTTAGTGTTGTGTTTTCTAACCTGACATAAATATGTCTGACAGGTAAGAAGTGCGTATTTCCTGAACGTAACACCTTTACTCAATTGATTCTATTCTGATAATGTAATCAAAAATGGCACCGAGGACAGCGACGTGTTGTCTGCCTGTTTCCCAACAGCTGTGGTCACTGTGGCTGACCTAGCAGCTAGCATCCCTAGCAGCTAGCATCCCTAGCAGCTAGCATCCCTTACTAACAACATGCAGACTTCCTGTGGTCTAGGCAGCAGTAAAAGCCTGTGGAGGGCGACTGTCATGGGGCGATAAAGTGCCCCGACATTTTCCCTTGGATTTTCAGTCTATCGCTTTTACTGGCAAGGATTCGCCAGATTCATATACAGTAGGTGTAGCTGTAGCTCTGATCTGTGCTGGAGCTGGACTGATGTGCAGTCACACTGGCGCCATCCACTGTTAGAGGTTTTCAAGATTATTTAGTCTGTGAACTACAGAAGACAGTGGGGGATGTGTATCACAGTCCAAACCCACCCACCCTTTCTGTTTTTAATGATAATTTAGCTATTTTCAAACTATTCACTTCGTCAAAGAAAGCAGCAAAGACCCTAGATTAATTTTAGGGACTTAAATTAATTGAATAGCCCCCATGTGTTTAACTACTCAAGTTGATTATGAGAACATGGAGTTTGTCTCCCAGAAATCATTGGGAATGTAAAAACGGGCAATTACATAGTAATTCTGTTAATAGGCAGTGTTACTGAGTTTGCATTAGATTAGTTTCTATTTTTTACATCTTCTTTTTTAATTGTCAGAATTACATTTCTGGATCACTAACTAAGAATGACTGATAAGTTTACTTGTTCAAACCAACATGATGCATAATCAGTTTTTGGTTCAAGATGCACCAGATTTTTATGGTTAGACCAGTGGTTCTCAAAGTGTGGGGCGCGCCCCACTAGTGGGGAATAAAGACATGAATGGAGAAAATTAGAAATGGGTCATTAATACAAGTAAATTAAAATAACATCAG